CATATAGTTGGGTTTAATAAAAATACAATTTTATGTTATACATACAGGTTGGGGAGTAAATGAAATAATGTTAATGTATGTTGATAAACTAAAGGTATGCTAGTCTTAAAAACTAAATGGTTCTTATCGATTCCGAAAGTTTTAGGAGCTCATAAGAATCCCCGGTTATATTAGTAATCTTAAATGCGCCGTGTTTCATTAGAATACTACATAAAGTACATTGCTCGACGATTTTCGATTTCTCAGGTATACTGTAAAGGTATTTGAGACAATAAAAAAATGTATATTTTACCTACTCGTTTAAATTGGCATGGTTCATTTTTATGTAAACCACTATTGTTTTAGCAGGTACAATACTAAAAGCTTCTTTTCTTTCAGTAAGACTGGCGAATATATATAAAATAATAGCTTTTTTCGCGTATATCGATCCTAACGATTTTGCTTTGTACAATATTAGATGTTTGTATTCATTCCGCAGGAAGTAGGGCTTTCGTTATACAATGCATTCATATAATATTGTAACAGCCCGAAACAACACAGTGAAGCCATAAAAGAGTTGTTTGATGAACAGCACTTGTAAATATGTCGAATGTGTTCACGAAACTGTTCACAATATTTTTGCCTGCTTTTGCGGTTTTATTTTCCTCATATGAGTAATTACATTCTTGGAGTACATTTAAAACATGCCTGTTCTGTAAAAGTACAAACAAACAATCTATACTCGTCACGCAATGGCACAGATTTTGCAATCGCACGTTATAATGGTACGCAGTATCGTATCTAGGGAGGGCAAGTGGGTATGTCTTTTTCAGGCAATGTTGGTATAAGGGCACTCTTAAGTTTATGAAAAATAAAAAAAAGTCATGAATATGACCTGTTTTTCACCTACGTAAGAGTGCTGCATACAAAAACCCTGGCGTAAAATTCTCTGGACTTATTTTCCGGAACTGATATGCCAATAACTAATATGCTAATTATTAAATACCATCCGAAAATGAACATCGTTTTTGGGAAAAATATCACCATTACAATAGATAAATATAAAATTAATCTTGTACGAATTTACCATTATACGAGTATACAGCTACGCATAAATAATGATATCATTGATATTAATGAAATAAAGGTATAAACGCATTAATATTATAGTTAGTTGTAATCTCATATACATAATCCGATAATAAAACCAAAAATTGACAGTAATTGATGAACAATGAATAATTTTTAATGCTATCTTCAAAACAATGTTTTAAAAGTATGTATTCCTATTCTTGTATTCAAATTATTTTTTACTCGATTTGTTTTGTGTTTTTGAAGACAAAAAAAAAAATCTAGATATAAATAACAATTTAATCAAGTACAGTTTAATTTTGGAGTGCCTATTTCTATAAAAAAAAACATACCGTCGTGCCACTGACTCAGCCATAGGATAGACTGAACAAATTCCTTCCATTATCTTGTCTGTTCAATCTTCTATTTTGTCTCAGAATTCAGGCCTTCAGATTTTGCAAAATTGTTTTTTTGAAAGGATATAAGAATACAAAAAAGTCGAAGATTGAATTAAGTAAACAATTTAAAAATATAAACATGATAAACATGTTTTTTTAAATTTTACAATTTTTTACAAATACTAATAACAATTTATCATGATAGGCTCCTGAAGTTTAAACTAATTAGATGAAAACGTACCTATTTAGTATTTTGAATTTAATTTTTCATAATAAAAATATCTAAGTAGGTATTCAATAATAATAATATTAATATATAATAATCATATTCAGTGAGTCGTGTAATTCATCCCTTCGTAGAAAATAAGTGCATTTTGCATTAATTTTACTAGCTTATTGAAAATTTATGTATTTATAATATTTAAATATATTTCAAAAGTTTTTCGCCCTTCCACGTATGTGATAATATACAATCCCTAACATGCGTTTAGTTCCTGTTCAATTGACGTGAGTGCAACCTTGGGAACGCTATTAGCTTAATAGATCACAGGGACAAAATATACGAGATATATATGAATATATGCATTCGATAATAATATAGTACTTAACGAAAGAAGAAAAAAATCAGAATGAAGTAAATCTCAAAACCGGTGCCATACACCAAATGTCGTAGTTTTTATATTATGAAAAGAAAAAAAAGAACCTTGTTCTTTCTATTTTGTTCTCGGGAAAAATATGGCTTGCAGTACACGTATCTATTGAAAAAATTTGATAATAATAATATAAGTAACACAAAGCAATAGCGCATTTACGCATTTATTTACATTAGTCAGAACGATTACACTGTAATTGATTATACAATTGTTAAATTGTAAAACTATTCACTCGACAATAACAATAACAGAACTAAAAATCCATATAATTTGTTTAGGCGCGCTATATTTGTTCACCGGTAGACGATATTGTTCATAAATATGATGTTGAACCTGATAGCCTAACTCTGACCATTAGTCTATGTGATTTCGGGCAGAATTACGCTGTATTATACTGTCCATTATAATTTTCGAAGGATTATTACTAAACGAATAATGTAATTTGCAAGCCGCTGTCGTTTAGGGATGCGATATTATGTACTTTATAAATTTAGGATTAATAATCAGAAATTAACTTAACCCACACAATAGTAGAGATTATACGCAATTTTTTCAATTGTTCTTATTTTCATGGATTTGGAATTTCAAAACTATAAATAAGTCCGGTTTAAAGAGGTGAATCATATGTTCTGAGTACTCTTTCTTGTATAAATATGCACCCAAATATCACAGTATATTATAAAATAATATTACACAGATTTTCACAAAAAACAGCCAAAAATGCCTATAAAATTAAGACAGATTACCGGGAAAATACCCATATAAAACGATGAATACGAGGAGTATAATTATTTTTTTAATTTATTCTTTTATTAGAATGGATAATATTAATAATAATAATTTTATTTTGTTAAAAAAAAAAAAAATTAAAATTAAAATTGTTGACTTGTGACATACGGTGTAGTACTGATTTAGAAGCATATTTGAAGTGGCAAATATCATCTGGAAATAATAATCTTGATATGTTTGTTAGAGAGGTTTATTTGCCTTCTAAAATATTTAAAATTGTTTCCATTTCAGTATAACCAAAATTATTTTCTAAGATATTTTCCAATTTTTTCTTTATTGATTTTCCATAATTACTTGTATTATTTGGAATACAAGTTTCGGCATCAAATCTTTAGAAGTTGTACAGCTTGGTATATTTCCATGGCTGGCTTATATGGATATTTGATGTGATTCAATTTCTTTTATTGTCATTAAATGTTTCAATTTTTTCAATAGCTATAGCATTGTATTTTTTTTAAAAATTCATCGATTGCTGTTTAAAAAAATGTTAAATATTCATAGTAGTATACTACAACTTCTATTCAAGTTTCCAACGTGTAAGTTAAAGTGGTAAAAGAAAAGTTGGGACTGTAACATTTAACTTTGAAACTCGTGAAGATGCTTTTAAAAATTTTTCTTTACATTTGAAATTTTTAATATGTAAAAATACTATATAATATAGGGACTCGTATACTAATTATGTATTAAAACGAATAAAATGACCAAAACCTATTAATATATCACCTTTGAAGTTTTTGTTACATGAAAAAAATTATGTACTTACTTGAAAAGCATTATCTAGGATTATATAGAAAAGATGCATTTCGCATTAAAATCTGGGCCATACAGATAACCATCTGTAGCGAATGAACTATATTCGATTTAAAGTACAGACTTCTAAAAAAAAAAGCAACCTGTTAATTACCCTTCACAAGTTCATCGTCTGACACGAAGTTATAAGTTTTAACCAAAAAAAACACTAATAATTATTTCTTTTCTTTACCTATTTAATAATAACGGTAGGGAGGGGTCTTCCCGGATTAGTTTCTTTACGTATAGTTATTGGTCTTTCTCAAAGAAATGTCTTTATATTGTAGGGTGCATTCACATTTAATGGTGAGCATAGGTGAGATTTTTTTAAAAAAAATGTAAATCCACTAATATAGCTTAAAATGCATGACTCTATCTCCTGCCACACGGTTATATTGCGATAAAAACATTAAAACTAGCCATAAATACAAATGAGAAATGCATTAATGGTCTTAAAAAATAACCTATATAACTTTTGTTATTAAATGTATTGTTCTATCAAGTACCTAATTTATTTTTTTAAAAAATAGCTAAGTATCCATGTTAAAAAAAAAAAACTGAAATATTTAAAGTATGACTTGATATTAATAAATATTACCAAATTATTTGTAGTTATTATTATAGTTAGTTAAATTCAAATTATTAAATCCTCTAATGTATAAATATTAAATTAAGCTTAACCAAATAATAATAAAACATCAGGAAATGCTCGGAAACGAATTTTCTGAGAAATGAAAAAACATCGAAAACGCAACACATGAATCTTTTAACCTTTGCAGGATCTATTTCGAAACGAAACGAATTACGAACTTGGAAAGCATTGTCTAAGATCATCCGAATAAAAAGACGCGGTTTTCATTGAAATCCTAGTTTTACTTATAAGTAATTTTTTACAAGAGCATTATTTGGAACTTCCCAGAGAACCGTTCGGATAAACGATAAAAGGGACCGTTTCGAGTGCTGCGAGTTAGGCAGACCTAGAAGTGCCCTTGCGTCCCCTACCGATCCAAGGTTAGATTGTTACATTGTTCGTGCGTTATGTCTGATTTCAGCGCAAAGATCCGACGCACAAGCTGTTGCCGAAGGGACAAAGGCTGAATGGGAACGAACAAAAGCAAAAGAAAAACACGGCGGACGCACGCGCATTACGTAGTCTAATAATGAAATACACGATTTCACAATAGAACCGCTCGTTGTCGTTGCGGCACCTTGGTTTACAGGTTATACGGAGGGGATTGGGGGGAGGCGATCGTCCGTACGACAAACGACGACGGGACTGCGCACCGCCGACCACTGGTCGCGTCCGGTCGGAAGAGGGGAACGGCTGTCGGATCACCGCCGCCGATGCGGTGTACGCGCGGCGCCGCTCGCGTCGTCCGTCAGGTTGGCCAACCGCGTGCCGACGACAAATCGGTGGCCGACCGACCGTCGCCGTAGCCGCGGTCGGCGGCGGCGACGGCGACAGCGACAACGGTGGTAGCAGTGCTCGTGGCGCACACGCGACCGTCGGACCGCCGTCACACACCGCCAGGGCCTGCGACGACAGTCGTATCCGCGACCCGCGCGACATCCGACCGTCGGACCGCGTTGCCGTCGTTTGCAGTCGTCGCGTGCGACCCGGAGCGGTGGACCCGACCCGGCAGAACCGATGATCGTGGCCATGGAGAGGAAACTGATATCGGAGCTGATCGAAGAGTACAAGTCGTGCACGTGCCTGTGGCGGATCAAGGATCCGGACTACAAGAACAAAGAGATGAAGAACGAGGCGTACGAGTCGCTGTTGCAGCTGATCAAAAAGTAACGGAAAAACGTAATCGTAACCAACAGCGTCGTTGCACAGATCATCGTAGTTGGTAGAACGGTGTTGGATGTCGCGGTAGCGCGCGGGGCCGTCGTCGTAGTGATGCGTACGCGTTATCCGACGCGACCGTGCGTGAAGGGTCGTCCGCGGCCGACGGTCACATCCGATTGGCGGTCGCCGTCGAGGAGGATAGGGCGCGGAGGTGGCGACGGTACAACGCGCTCGTGCGGTGATCGTCGGACGCGATCGGCGGCGGACAACCTTAGGAAAATAATACCAGATGATAATATTTGCGCGCGCGGTAATAAAGCGTCGTAGTAATAATAATAATAATAATAATAGTAAGGTCGCCGTCGATCCGTCAGTCCCCGACCCGCGACCGTAAACCGCTGCGCCGCCGACGCCGATCCATCGTTGCCGCCGCGCTAACGATTTTCCCCTCCGTCCCGCGCGCCCGCCTACCCGTCGTCGGCCGATCGTCGCGCGGCGGAGGTACCGTCGGCCGTACTACGTTTTCGCCGGGACCGATTTACGCGCGCGCGCGCCCGATTTCCGTCGTCGCATCGTCCGAAAATCGATGACGGCCAACCGGTGGCGGCGTCGTACGGTTTTACGGTGTCTTCGCGAGTCAGGTGTGTGTTCTCTTGCGGTGTCCGTTCAAATGCCGTTTTCGTTCGTCGTGCACTACGCACCGGGGTGTGCCTGATTAGTGTGGGGAGGGGGTGTTCAAACTGACTGGTTTCCAGGGTTATTTTTGCAATCCACCGTCCATCCGTGTCCCGTTATAAAATCAATTATTACCAAAAAACATTATTGTCTTGCGAAATAAATACGTTTCAAACGCGTGGCGGTAAAAATATTGAACCCTCCGGAAAATGTTTAGACGCTCTCCTGACTACGCGCCTACTGTGCACGTGCATCTTACGTTTATCGAGTCTTGTTATAATAGTTTGTTGGTGTAGGAAATCCAACCCTACGGTTTAGATCGTGTGTTTTCACCACTCCGCCGACATCTCGATGGTACTTTCCGCGTACTGACGTTATCGTGGATGAACTCCGTACTGGTCCCTCCTAATGAACCGTATTTTCGTTGTATTTTCTAATCATAAAATGTCTGGTGAAACGTTTTAAAGCAATCTGATCAATTGTGATGACAAGGACTTTTACGGCAAAACCTTGAACAACGTTCTCTTGATACGTCCGTAAAATTACGTTTGTTTCGAATATTTTGCAAAACCGATTCCAAGTGTAGTTTTCGTAATGCGAGATAAATTTTTCGTACGGGTTGATTCGAGTTGATCATCTGATTTTCTATCAATATAAAACGACTAAATAACCACACTTAATATATCCTAATCATAAAGTTCAGCGGAACTATGATTTTTTTAACGATATTTGGATCGATCGTTCATAGTTTGTTCATTGATATACTAATAATTTCTTCCAATTGATTATATTCACTACCTACATAAATATGTCAATACATCAATATAGTATATTAGTGCAATCAATACATAAAAATGGTCGGCAATAATAGTATTTTAATATTTTCGTTTGTTATTATTTTGTTGAAGATTTATTTTTAACTACGTTTTATTTAACATTTTTAATAATAATTAATTAATTATTGTAATTTGTAAACTATTAAAAATAACTGTAAAACATAAGAAACGTCTCAGATTTAAAATTTGATATTATTATTTTAAATAATTAAATGGCATCGGTGTTGTGAATGTTTGCCGCAATACCTATAAATTAAAGAAATGATTTGAATAAACAGAAAAACATACTTAATAAATGTTCTAACAAAATACGAGTACAACTGTTGATTTAAATGTTTTTATAACTTTCGTATTAACGTCACGACGATTGATTTTTACACAATGCTGGTAAAATGTATATTATTTTTGTGGCACGTACATCGTTTTGAAGTTCATTTTGTTTATCGATCCCTTTTGTTTTTCACGTATCCTCCTAACATTAATTTTTTTGTATTGATGTACGCGTTACTAAAATTAAAAATAATCCTAACCTCTCCATCTTATAGAAAATAGTTAAACTCTTTAAGGGAAAATCAGTGTTTAAAATTTAAAATTTTTTTACGGATTTAATCCCACATATATCTATACATTAAAAAACATGTATTTTATTACCATTAAAATGTTGATACATTATTAGAACTTTTTATACGCAAGTTTAAATTTTAATGTAATTTTTTTTTTTGATCTAAGCTTATATTAAATCAAATTACTAATATTACAAAAAAAAAAAAAAAATACAAAATGACTGGCAGTGTAAATCAAGTTTAACAAATTTTACATTATCCATATGTTCAATTAAAAATGAAACAATACTATTGTATGCTCAACAATTAAATATTTAAAATGTTTATCGAAGTGCGTAAATAAATATGTACAGATTGTACCTATTTATATATTTTACATTTACACATTCACATTTACACCTATTTACCCCGTACAGTATGTGTGGGGGTATTATTCCAAATAATTTGCTCGAATCGTATATTATCCATTGGTCATTAATATTGTACGGTTGAAAAAATAGTATCGGACCAGATCTTGCACATTTGATGTGATTGAGATAGTATCTCTGGATAATATTTACCTATAGATATATGATCTACATATACTTATATTACTGACATTTACTTATATCTAATTGAAAATATTTTACATTTTGATTAAAATGCGAAATAGAAGTTGATTAATATTTGAAGTTTTTATTAATCGACAACGAGCCAAATTAAAACTGTTAATATAATTAAAAAACACGGAAGAGAACAGAAACATGTAATTTTCAGAGTTCAATGATCAAATGAAAACTCAAAAAAAAAATGTAATGTCAGTATATTAATATACTATAATATATAAGAGTATATTAATCAATTACGTAATATGCCATTTATTAAAAAAAATATTTCAAAGAAAAGAATAATCTCATGTTATAAAATACTTAAAAAAAATGTCCCGGCAGCAGCGATGTTATCTGGCTTATGAATGCATTTTTTTTCTTTTTTTTTATAGCAAAATTTCATTACTAAAAATTAATTTTTACTCCACTCTTTAAAGCTTACCAATCGACATTTTTTATTTAAATTAATGACATCCAGTGAGGATTTTAATCTTTAAATATTATTGAGATATTTTTTTTATTTTTTTTTTTTTAATCTACTATTTTACTGTCCAGTTGAAGATTTCGGTCATTTCTCAAGTAATATTATGTTTTATAATGAAATTTTGTGTGTACAGGTATAACGAACATTGCACAATGGACGATTTAAAACGTAAAATAGCCAACCTGAGAACGTGTTATTTGAGGGAATTCAAGAAAGTCATGGACGCCAAAAGATACGGTGGAGTTTACGAGCCCAGCTTATGGTATTACAAGTAAGACAACGCTGTGTGATTTTTACGCTACACGCTTTATTTAAATATATTTATTTTTATTAATTCGTATAGTATAATTTTTTAATTTCTGACTTACCGTAGAGAGGGTAGTAATCTCTTTAATTTATACTGGACAATTGCCTACCAAGAGACAGACCATCTATGGATCTACTCTTTATTGATATATTAAATTGTAATATGTTATACATAATGTGATAATTCCCATGAGACTTATAGTTGTTTATATTTTGACGAAAAACGAGTTGGTACATTTGACCAAACATATTTTATTAGTGGTTTTTTCATTTTATCTAATATTTGTATTTTTCTAGATTTTTAAATGTCAAATAAAGATTTTGTTGTATACTCTGCAGTGTTCTTCTAGTGAAATTAAAAAAAAAAAAAAAAAAAAAAAAAAAACGATTAAAATTTTTTACAAATATGTTGAATTATAATGTAATTCACTAATAAGTCGCAAAAAATTAGTTAAAATAGTTTATAAAATGTTGATAAAATCAGATACTCCAACGAACTTCCATTAAACATTATTTGTTATTTAGTTATAATCCAAAAAAATTTTAACTGTAGCAACTTCAAAAAAACTAATACTTATATTAGCATTTTGAAAAATTTACTTGGTGTTCGAATATTTTAATGAAGTTGGTAATGTTTAAAACCACTTTAAATTTTCTATTTTCCCAAATTTTAAATAATTTTTTTAGTTTAAATTAGAACGTTAAGAGTTTGATCAACCGTATTAAGAAATTTGAGTTTGCTTCTTTATAAACCATTTTTAGATATATAAACTCATCCATTTAACTTCTTTCATTCAAAATCGTTTTTATCAAGATCAATGATACATAGGTTTCAAGTTAGGAAGACCAATACAGCAATTACATTTACTATTTCTGTATCTCACTCGACCGCGGAATTTCGCCGGACTTAATTGTTTTACATTTTTATATTAAAATCGATATTTATACACAACTTATAAGTATTTAAAAATGAATAAATATAAATGCTTATCTGCTACTTTTAGATTTAAAAAGAGTATAGATATATTTAATGATAGATTAACAAATATGTAGTTCATTGTTAGGTTACAAAAAATCATAATAATACATTTTTCAATAAAAAAATTTAATTTGCTCGAACATGATTTTTTATTGCATCATTTGTTATATATTAACGCACGCATGTTTTATTATATTGTTATATAATGTAGTGTGTTTTGTCGTTTGACACGTATAGGTCCTTGGAATTCCTAAACGACCAACATCAAGGCGAAGAAAGGGTGCGATTGGGCCGCAGTTATCCGGATAATAGTGACGAAGATAACGAGTCGAACGAGGTAGTTATACGCGTACGCCGTACGCATATATAATATATTTAAACACATAGTGTGAGATTAAACGTTCTTACTTTTTTTATCCCATTTCTATGTATATATACCGTATACAGAGAAGTATAAAAATATTTTATAGTGTATTGTGTAACGTGTCCCCGTTCAGTCGACTCCCTGTTGGTCCCTTTTTCTTCAACGTAAATCTATTATTGGGGCATTCACCATTGTTAGATAATTTTTGATATAATCAAAAATCTTATTGCTTAGCTAGTATAAAAAATGGTATTTAAAAGTATAGAAAACACAGATTTGAAAAGATTCACAAATTTGTTCAGGATATGTAACTGTGATAAAAAACTTTTTTTTATGAAAGTTTAGGCATGTTTAAATAATTCAAATAGTTTTAATTACCATATAATAGTTTAATAACCATGTATTTCAGTTAGTCGAACAATAATATTATACAATTAAAAATTCATGTGGGATAATCGATGTTAAATAAAACCTGGTTATTATGAATTTCAACATTTGACCAAAATCTCCTTTGCAAAATTATTGTTTTATAATAAAAAAATGAATAATAGTCGTAGGGAAATATTTCACAGTTATATACTATTGAGATCATACACATATTTGGTAGACTTGATATAATGACTTTAAAATATATGCTAAATTATAATGAAGTTTGTCCACAGCAGTTTATACCGAGTATAAACGTCTAGATAGTTATAGACATTTTAAATGCCTATTATGATATAATCAGGTTATATTAATGCATTTTCCACATGATTAAGTTAGTTTTTTATTTATTTTACTTTAACCGTATAAAAATGATCTCCTCATAATTACTTATGTGCATAACTTCTTTATTTTTGTGACATTACATTAAAAAAAAAAAAAAAGGTTCAATTACAGCATTTAAATTTTCATTAACAAAGGGTAAAAATAAATGGATGTTGTAAAATATTTAAAGTGTTTCACTTTATATTATAAATCATATTATAAATCAAATAATAGAATAATATTTTTTTTCTACTGTGACCTACTTGGTGAAGACATGCGAATATAATTCTTTTTAGTATTAAACAGGTCTTTATACCACGTAATTATATTCATAAACATTTTGTGGGGTGTATAAAATGTTCTGTATAAACGTTTTATAAGAAAATGTGATCGACAATGTTGAAAAAAATAAAACAATAATTTACGTAATAAATTCAATAGTTAAAAGTGTTTTTAATTTAAAAGAATTTTAATTAAAATTAAAAAAAATATTAAAAGTATATTTTCAATAAAATTTTGCTAGTAACACACTTGTATTAAAATATACTTCAAAACAAAATTTACTATACTTACATTTTTAAGTAAGAATTGAAAAATTGTATTTCTGTAGTAAAAATTATCAAACATGATCCATATGAAATTGTACACATGGACAAAATTGCTCACAAAATACCAGTTTTTGGATCAATATATAATAAAATGTTAATATTGTCATAACTTTACTCAAAAATTAATTGTAATATTTAATAAATTAAAAGTAATTGTAATGAAAACTATGAATTGTTAACATTTTATTAGTATAGCTCTAATGAAATCTGTAAGTGATTCACATGTTGTAAAATAAAAGTAATCAGTAGTTATGGTTATATTTAATTTTATAAATGTTAATAAGGTGTATATATGTGTAATGTAGTATAATATATTCATATCACAACAAAAAAATGATTTTAAAAAATTTAAAATGAAAAATATATATTTATATTATACTCGTAATACACTGTGAGAATATAAATTACTATTAAATAGCAATCAAGTTTTTTAAACAAATAGGAAGTATCGAAGCAGTTACTAATTATGCATTATTATAATTAGGATTTGTTTTTTTTATATCGAAATAGTCACTAAGTAATCACATCCAACCACTGCAACTGTCGATTAATTCTATAAAGTGTTTGTATAAATAAATAAATCTTGTTACAACCGATTCGTTTGCATACATTTTCCGTTTTCGTCATTGAAGACTTGATTTCTTCAAAAGACGTATTCTAAACATCGTAAGGTCATTTTTCTTTTTTCCCCCGCACAGATCTATATTGTTATGACAAGATTTGCTTCCTATTTCTCTGTAAACGTCGATCATGAATCAGTCGTCCATGACAGACTAGAATATAAATATTTATAAATAGGTCACAAATGATAACTCTTTTTTCAGGAGTGCCATTTAGTATTTGAATTTGAATTATTTGAATCCACATTAGTTATTTTTCAAATATAATTATTGACTTTTATTTAAACAAGATTTAGAATCCAGCGTAGAATAACGATTTTTTTAGTAAATCGATCAACATTTCTAAGTTTACTCATATTAAAATAATTCTTTAGACGATTAACACAAATACACATTATCACATTAATCATATAAATTTTTTTCAAAAATTGTATGATTAGACATGATCTGTTTTAAACAAACACCAATATTTGAAATGATTCGATACTTGTTACCTATTTTGTATATACCTATAATGTACTGTTTTGCGCATTAAAAAATAAGATCTTTTATAAATTATGCCACGTACGATTATGTATGTATAACGTGGTTAATGCTACTTCGGACAGTTGTAAATACGACACAGATTTCTTAATTGGACGCAAGCACGTAGACTTAATTTTATTTGACGAGAGAGGTGGATAAAAAAGTCGTCCCAGTAAAAATTCGAATACCAAACTATATTAAATAGTTTGCAGTACGATTTTCATACGTTTACGATAAAAAAAAACACTCCAATTTTCGATTTCTTTTCCTACCTTGTTTCGTTTAAAATTAGGCAATAAATTACTATGATTCATGAGCCGGTACGGGACAATCTTGGACTGGGGCAGCGTAAGCTCCATGGACCGACCTGTAGTTATTAAAACAGATTTTCGAGAGATCGGATAAGTCGTGGTCCGTAATCTGTCGACACGCGTACCTAACCAATTACATCGCGTTCTTCCGTTCTAGGCTCAGATACTGATGTACGAGGACCGAGCCGGGTCCGAGGACAAGGACTCGTGTTCCACCGAACCGGAGCAACCGACGGCAGCCAGCAGTCTGCAAATGATCATGGACGAAGGGGGCGCCGGGACGGGTGGCGCGATTAGGCCGAAGAGGCGGCGGCGGATATTGGACGCGACCGGGCCGCCGTCGTCGGCCGCGGCCGCGGCGCAACCCACGTACCGGTACGCGCAGACGACCGCGGGCGACTTCTACGATCCGCAAATACTGGGCGGCGTGGGCGGCGACCCGGCCGAGCCGCCGGTGGCCGACTACTACGACGGTTTCGGCCGGTACGCGGCCAACGAGCTGCGGCAGATGGACAGACAGTCGGTGATCATCGCCAAGCGGTTGATCAACGAGGTGCTGTTCCTGGGTCAGATGGGCATGCTGAACGTCAACACGCGCATAGAGACGCCGCCGACCGCGCGGCGCAAGCACGCCAAGCAAGAGCTGTCGCACCACCACCACCCCCAGAACCAACAGCACCCTTACCAGTCGGACGATTCGACCGCTGTGCCGCCGGTCGAGTTCATGGAGACGTCGTGAGCCACGTCGAGCCGTGCGCTCGGCTTCCAACACAGACCTTTGCGCCAACCCTCCAGCCCCCCACCCTGACAACTCGATACGGTTGATAAGATCACAGTGGTAGACTAAGATTCGAACGGTTTTGTATCGGTTTTCGTTCGATCGGTCGGTCTGTCTGACGACAAATCGTTTCGCGCAACGATGTGCGTTTAACTGCTGGATCTTCGTCCCATCAGAGTCGTTTCGCTGATCTCGTCCCGAAGGGCTAAAGCTGTGTATCAGTACAACTATAAGCCTTCCTCCCACTGGAGCAACGCGACGCGATGTGATTTTATAAATGTCGCGTGACGATCGTTTTTTTTTTTTTTCATAGAACATGAGTAAACATATTGAGGATCTCCCGTTGACGCGACACAGTAGCAACTTAGTGTTATCAGTCGCTTGATGAAAGTTACCATTATATCGCTGGTTGACCACGTTTATTTTATTTTATAATTTTGCTTATGACTTTTATATAAATATTAATTTATAAATACTATGGCGAAAACCAAAGACGAGTGCATCGTAACTGCGAGTATAAACCTAATAACCTTAATGATTGAAATTCGACATCATCTTGTTCTAACCCGTTAGCGGCAACAGAAATACGACAATCGACATTATTTTGTGTATATAGTTGTACCCAATATATTATTTTTTTATTTTTACGAATTCGAAGACATTAATATAAGGCAATATAATCGTCATCTTTAGAAGATTACACCTGAGCTATTCTAGTTGCCGCAACATCGGATATAGTGTGCAGATCTACAATATTTTTCCTAAGCAACTATTCTTTTAGATCGACGTCGCGTTGCCCTAGCGGGATGATGGCCAAAATGTGTGCGATGTACACGACACAATCGGTTCGTTGGTAAATAATTGCGCCTTGGATATCATAGGAACAGAACGATACGTTCGCATCACGCCACAAGTGATGTATGCATGCTTTGGATTGTTTCGTTTTCCGTGTACTGTTTGAATTTTTTTCGCATAAGTGTTTTTAGTACAAAATATTTTAAGTAAAAATAAAAAACCAATACGTTAATATACCTATCTGTGTTGTGTTTATTACCTTCGTTCAGTTTCGTACGGTCGCTGGCCAAACTAAGAACCTCGGTATAAGTGTCAACGGATATGAAACCTTGTCAGTGGCGTATTTGACTTCATTTTATGGAGGGGGGGGGCGGTACTAAATTTACCAGCTTTACACACTTGTTAAGTACAGTATATTTTTTTTTTATATATATGCTTATGTTCTTGAATACATACCTATTGGTCCATTTTATACTTGCATCTTTTACCTTTTACACATTGTACATCTTGAGAAAGATAAATAAAACATAATAAAGCTAAAGTTTAAAATTTCAATGTAATATTTTCTAAACATAGATTTATAATATATACAAATAACTTGTCAATGGGAGTGGAGGGCATTGACCCTATCTCGCCCCCCTCAAATACGCCATTGAACCGTGAGCGTACACTTGTGTTTATTGCCGGTGCTGTACTAGCTGTAAGCTCGACGGTAATACCCGTCATCTACGTCAACTGTCACGTGTGAAAAGCGTAAGTACATTACAGGCACATGTTACCAAGGTCCGTACGGCTTAACCACGTTGCGGGAAAACGAAATAATGACCTCCGGTTTCTATGTTACGTTTTGGTCTCATACGAACCATAAACCCATAGAAACGCAGTGTTTTTACGATTTCACACGGCCCGTCGATGGAAAATACGTTAAATATGTATGTATGTGTATTTCATTAGAAAAACATTTCGTACAATGTAGGAGTTCATAGGGTTTTTTATTTCGTACGCACTCGTTATTCGTGCTATATTACGCGTGCGACGGTACTGTCTGTGCGATTAGTTCAGTATTAATCTACAAACGGCCACGAAATTGAAAAAAAAAAAAAAAAATGTCCAACAGTTCACGGTAGGTACGTATTTGATATTGTGTACACCAAAGCGGACTTTGATGTACATAAAAACACGTAGTTACTGAGCCGTGTCCACCGTAACTTTTAATACCTGGTATTAAAACGGACTTCGCGTGAATAAAATCCGTTGTATACAAACAACGATTTCGGACTCGAAAATATAACATTTTAATGTACTCTTGTTAAACCAATTATGTTTTGTAAAATCTACTGTTCGTTTTGCTCGCAAGACTTGTGCGCTTTTTTCAAAATTAATTATTTGCGTAAAAACAATCCTTTGTGCAAACACATATATTACAACAGACATGAACTATCTAACGTAACCTATTGATACAAATACAAAATAACTGGTCAATATTATAGATATAAACGTTGTGCTGTGTTAGTTTCGACACTAAGATGGATCACTACTGGTCCTTTAGGGTAATTCAACTTTAATTTTGGTATACAACATTTATGAAACATAAAAAAATACTTTATTGTTTGTATTTGGATTAAGCTCCATGAGAAAAATCGGAAGTGAGTGGCCATTTTTCGTAACTCTTTTAGCGAAGTGGTCTAATTTCAATTGGGCATTGTTTATATCAGATATGAGATGCAAATTTTTGATTATTTCCTTGGAATTTCGATATGTTAGTTACATGAAAGTGTGAAAACAGATACTGGTGACCATTAGGTGATCTGTGATTATATTAAAATTTAGAAGTCCATGAGGACGAACAATCAAAAAAAAAAAAAAAAAAAACGATAACTTACACATTAACCTGTTTGAACTGGTGTTTTATATTTACATGTTTTTGAAAGCAGAGAAGTTATTAATATTTTTAACATATATTGGTGGAACCCTGATGTCTTCGTGTTGGTGGTAAACAATTGAATCGTTGATTACATTAGGAACGTCTCAAGAGATTTCGAGTTCGATCCATTGTCTTCATCACTCACCAAAACAATGAAACGATTAGGCAAAACTAGTGATTTGATTTTTTTTCCCGTATTGATAGGTGAATCAGATGATGATTGCAGAGACCGTTTGGGTTTGGTAGTAAGCGGAGATGATATGTTATCCATTTTGAGATTCAAAACGCGTTCGATAAAATATATATAATATCGTGAACTGATTACACAATTGAAATCGCGATAACCGAATGGGCAAATTGCAATAGCATGAACATAAGATTGTTTTGCAGGTCAACACCAGTCAGATGATCATTTTTCAATAATCTAATAATCATTTCCTCATCCGCGATTGTCAAAAGTGTGAATTAATCACTGAAAATAATATATACTATTAATACATGCGTAAACGAATTGTATTATAATATTAACAAGTTCATTAAAAATGTATATGAATTATGTACAAAATGTAAAAAAAAAAAAAAGACATATGAGTCTTAAATCCGTCGATAAAAAAACCATAGTACAGAACATTATTTTCGTCTTCATCTTTTTCCGATGATTACTAACATTATTCTTATAGGTGTTTCGACAGCGGCTTCGTTGCGTAGTCTCGTACACCACAAACAATTATCGTATGCTTGTGTTATGTAATATTGTACCATAATAATATTCTGTTGTAAATTTCGTAAATCATCTAGAACATACCTATTCATATCGTATCCAGACGCGAGGTCAGCATTTTTAAAAGAAGGGTGTTTCAATACAGCTTGTATTGGGAGGGTTGTTATTCATCCTCCATGGCATCATATAATCAAATACAAAATAGAATCACGTAACTAAACGTTTGGTACTTTTGTAGTAACCCAAAACGTTTAGAAAATGTATAATAGATTATATGAATAAATACTAAGAGGGAGTGTTTTAACCCCAGAAACAACCCCTTTGGTTATACGCTTGGTTGTGTGTGGATATCTCTTAGCAGTACTAAAACTAAAATTGTAATGTTAAACGATATAATATTACGAAATATGCACGTATATTACTATACAGAAATTACAATTTATTGTTTATTAAAAAAAAAAAAAAGAAAGAAAGAAATAAAATATATTATAACCGCAATATAAATGAGTATACATGTATTTACAGATTCTACGACAGTTGAGCGAAAGAAAAAGAGCGAATACAAAATGAGCAAATAAAAATATGAGTGAAAAAATATATATAAATGTTTTAGTCTTTAAATATTTTATACCCGCTATGTACTGACTATGTGAAACTACAGTGAAATATTTTAGGATTCGAAAAGTCCGCGATAACGATTTGATAAGATTACGTTTATGATCATTTGTCTTATCTGATTCACTGTCGTCGTACATAGGTTGAATTTGTCATTTTAGTCGTCTGCCGAAGTTCTTCTATTTTAATGCGTGTATGAATAATGCAGTATATTCAGTCACAACAAAGAAAACTTTTCCTACAGTTAAATAGTTTCTTATATCGAAAAGAAAAAATACATAAAGATGTCGAATATTGGCGATGTATAGACAAACTATGTACAGGGCGTTTGAATTTAAAAAAACGAAGAAATTATTAAAGGCCATTCCAATCATAATCATGTAGCCGATATAATTAAAAATCAAGCGAAAGTAGTAGTCGAAAATATTAAAAAGCGCGCCGTTGAAACTCAAGATATTTCTGGAGTTATAATAAGTGAGTCATCATCTTCTGTAGTTCCAATTGTTTTTTATGCACTTCCACAGATCACATACTTATAACGTACAATTCAAAGAACGAGACAAATAAATTGCCAAGCTCCACCTAATCCTCAAATTCTCAATGATTTACACCAATTTCCAATTGAATATAAATTGACTACTCATGGTAAACAAATTGTTTTATATGACAGTATCGATGACTATGGTTTGTCAAATCAACGAATTATAAGTACACCTGAGAGTTTGGATTTGATGTCGGAATCCGATCACTGGTTTTCCGATGGTACTTTCAAATCAGCTCCACATATTAAAACATGATAGATGTATATCAACATTATATGCACTATAAACCGATAAAAAATTATCTACTTATGTGCGTTTATTAACAAAATTAAAAGAAAAAAAAATAGTTTAAACCCAAAATCTATTTTAACTGCTTTTGAAAACGCTTCTATTAATGATTTTAAAGAAGTATTTCCACAAATCGAAAACCGTGGTTGATTTTTTCATTTTAGTCAGTGTAATTGGCGAAAACTACATCAACTACCCAAAGTTTTCTATTCATATTCGTTTACTATCAGAACATGCATTTTTACCAACAAATGACGTAGAAAAAGCATTTGAGGAACTTTTAGATAGTGAATACTACAAGGAACATGAGTATTTTCTTCAACTAATAGTTAACTGTTTTGAAGATATATGGATAGACAGATCAACTCTTAATTCAGATATGGAATTGTTATGAAGCAATAAAACACGGGTTACCAAAAACGAATAACTCTATTCAAGGTAATCAGAAATTAGTTAATAACTTGCAATCATGTATATTATATAAATCATACTTATTTTAGGCTGGAATAGAGGCTTCAATTGTCTATTAGGGTCGTGTAATCCAACAATTTAGAAGTTTATAAAAGCCCTTCAAAATCAACAGACTTTAGTGGATATGCAGTTACATCAAATTAATTGTGGCATACGTTCGTCCAACAAAAAAAAAAAAATAAATAAATATGATTCTGACGAAGAATTAAAAAATATTGTTGACGATTATTATAATATTCCGACATTCAATATTAAAAAGGTATCGCGTATAATTTTTCGTTACAAGTATAAATGTATTAATTTAATATTCAATAATAATAATTTTTCTTAATTTATAATTTATTTATATTTTATAATATATAATATAATAATTAAATGAAATGTACCTATGTGCAAATAATTTATAATAATTATATGTTTTCGCTCATTTTGTTTTGCTCTTTTTCATTTACGTTCACTATTTTTCTTTCGCTCAATTGTCGGGATACCGTATTTACACGTATCGTTAGTATCATAAATGTCGTTTGTTTATCTATAAATTTTTTTACATAAAATAAGTCAACAATATTGTGTGCGACATACATTTGGTATACCACATAACGATATGATCTGAAACACATTACATGTTTGTTCGACTATAAATATGGTTTGCGACTTATACGTAATATGATGT